TAATATCCTGCTGCTGTCAAAATAGTTGCTGTTTCAAATCAAAACAGAAAAAAAAATTGTTGCTGCTGCTTCATTCTTTCTAAATAACCTGCACACTGTTGTTTCAAGTCTTGTTCCGTTGTTGCTGCTGTTACAAAGCTGTTGTTCTTCTTTTTCTCTGCTGTCAAGACCTATAAACCTGCTTAAATCTGCTTAAACCTACACATACTAAATCACACTTGAGCTGCTGTTATAAAGCTTCAACTCAAATAGCAAACACAGCACAAATCTTAAACAGAATGCTTAAACTTGATCAGACAAAATAGAATGCTTAAACAGAATGCTTAAAATGCACTCTTTTCTTGTTACTTCTTTTCTTATTACTAGACAGCAAACTCTGAAACAGCGAACTAGACAGACTTTAACAGTCTCCACACTAACAAACCTGTTACTTCTTTTCTTGTTGTTTCTGTTTCAGTCTAAACAAATCACTATACAGCTGCTGCTGTTTTTGTCCTGAAAATACACTAAACAGCTCAAAACAGTAAGCACAAACAACAAGCAAGAAGTACAAATGTTGATTAAAAACAGTAAGCACAATCACACAGAACCTGTGTGTGAACACAATCACTTGTTAATGCTTGAATCTACACCGGACAATGCAAATCTTAACCTGACAGCATGAGACTTAACCTGTTAACAATCTAAAAGCTTAAACAGAACAGCATGAGTCTAAACCTGTTAACAATCTAAAAGCTTAAACAGAACAACATGAGTCTAAACCTGTTAACAATCTAAATCGGACACAAGCAAGAATATAAACCGGTCACAACTAGTTGCTAAACCGGACAGCACAAGATTCTTAAACCTGTCAACACAAGGCTTCTTAAAATATCCTAAATGGATCACGATGAAGTGTGATTAAGAACTCAGATAGTGGAAAGGATTGAACAAATGAATATGCAATCAATGAGAATGAGGAATAAGATGAGCGATTTATGAATCCGGATAAAACACTTTGATTTAGAAGACCTAAACCGGACAGAACACAAATTTAAAATTGGATAAGTGAAATTGAACGGTTTAGAAATCCGGACAGAACACTGATTGAAAAAATTCTAAGTCCTAAACCGGTCAAGAAGTCCGCTTAAGGGTTGATCGGTATACATGAATACCGGACAAAAAGTGTACGGTTTAGTTATAAACCGCTCAAAATTGAAAACCTAAACACTTACTTGATTTGTGCAAAACGTCCGGTGTACCTTAACCGCTCAAGAAATCCGGTCAAAAAGTGAGCGGTTTACCTCTTCTCCGTTCAAGCGACGTGCGGTGTAGATGAATACCGCTCAAATGGTGTGCGGTTTAGATCAACACCGCTTGAATGGTGTGCGGTTTAGCCTTAGACTTGAAATTGATTGAATAGAAGAATCAATCCGGTCAAAAGATGAGAACAAGATGAAGATTAGAATCCGATTGAAGCTTTTCTTTCAAGGTTTATGCGGATTAAGCTCTTCTCCGCTCAAGATTCTGATGAACAAACACCACATCGCTCAAGTTGGATTTCTTTGTACAATTGAACTTTTTAGCCTGTTGGGCCTTAAACCGGTTGGGCCAAAATCTTGATATTAGACGGTTTAACAAAAATCAATCACACCAAAAATTTAAAAGAAGATTAAAATCTATTAAAAAAACACAAAAACTAAAAAAAATTAAAAAAAAGGGATCAAACACACTGATTTTAAAAAAAATTCAAGAACACGAAAAAATTTTAAAACCCTAAAAACCGATTAAATCTTGATTTAAAATGATCAAATCACAAAATTTTGTGAATAACAAATATTCAAAAATCAATTTCGAGAATTATGATCATTTTTATAACATGAAAACACAAGATTTTATGAAAAAATCGGATTAAAATCTAAAAAAAAATCAAGAACACGAAGAACAAAAAAAAATTCAGAAAGAATTTCACTTATCTTAAAAAAAATTGATTTCTTAACCTCTGATTTCTTGCATCCTGCTCTGATACCAATTGATGAGTCCATTTTACTGATCAATCTTCATATCTTCATAACCATGGCAGATTTGGATATAAATCTTCAAGAACACATTAAGAACAATGAGAGAGAAAGTCAAACTCTCAATTCTGGTCAAACTCTCATTTATGTACGTAAATCTTACAATGAGCTCTCCTACTTCTAATTACAAAGACTATCACTATTTATATGGTCAAACTAACAAAGACAAGTCAAAGTCAAACTTCTATAAGAAAGTCAAACACGCTGACTTTTACAATTATAGACTATTTTTAACTTTCAAGACGAATACAATTAATACTGATTTTTCAGTCCTAACACTACTATTTTCAGATCTTTGTGTTCAACTTTTTGACGGAGTTGCTTCCACGGGTATTGGAAGTTAGAGGGCGACCTTTTTTGTTCCTAATCCTACATGCCTTGCTCCCCAAACACAAGAGCAACAAAGTTCAAAAACATTGTCTACACATGTCGCTCCTCAAATACAAGAAACACAAGAGCAACAAAGTTTAGCAACATTGCCTTCGGTACAAGAGTCTTCTTCGCGTTCTCAATCTCAAAGAAGAAAACAAAAATGTGTTCAACCAATAAGTTTAGTAAATGACGAGGAAGTGTCTAAGGTTGTCACTTATGCGCAGAATTCTTTGGACAAACAACCCATGGAATCTGAGGTGGGTGCTTGCATTGAAAAACTAGAGAAATTTCGGTGTGGAAGCCCGTTGTATGTGGTAGCACTTCATCTTTTTAGTCTAGGCACTGACCATAAGAAGATTTGGTTGTGTTTGAAGGAGGATAAGGGTGAGGGTTGGGTTAAGTTCACGGGACGTCAACATGGGCTTATATAAGTATTGCAACATTTGTTTAGACATTTGAAGAAGATATTTTATGCGCTCTTTTGAAACCTTAGATGGTTTATATGCGTATTAAACTTTTTGATGGACTCTTTTGAAACCTTAGATAGTTTGTATGAACATTAGATGTTTTTATGCGCTCTTATGAAACCTTAGATGGTTTATATGCGCATTAGATGCTTATCGTTGTTTGAACTTTGGAAGATGTTTGTTGGCTTTTATATAACTTTTATCGATGAATGTTATGATCAATGTTATCTTTAAAGATGATGCTGTTTTTTTCATTTCAATTTTGGAAAATGTTTTTATCCTTGTATGGACTCTTGACGGTCAATGTTATATGTATTTTATATTGCAAGGTTATGGACAGAAACAACTTAATTCTGATTGTGGTGGTTGTTTATTTGTATTTGAAAAAAAAATCTTCGTCAAGAATAGAAAGGATAAGAGACAACACTTCATCATTGAGCGGACATACGTATACACAATAATTTTTAAATAGATCAAATACACAATGTCATAAATTGATGCTTTTGTCACATGATGCATATATATTATTATGCAATTATTTAAAGAAAAAAATTGGGTGCACTCAAAGTAGGTATATGAGTGTCGAAGAGAAGATGGCCATATTTTTGACAATAATTGGTCACAATGAACGCTTTAGAATGGTTAAACGGAGATTCAACACTCTACGCAAATCAATAATAAATATTTTCATGAAGTACTAAGATGAATGATGGAATTCGCGAGAGAAGTCGTAGGGCCAACATCTTTTGATGGAACCCCAAATATGTCGGAGCGATTTACACGACTCAAAGAAACATTTCCGGTATGATTTGTTATATTGAATATTCTTAACATATATAAATACTTTATAATGTTTTCTATTTCATATAAAGGGGCTATAAGTGCGCTAGATGAAACCTTGGTACATGCAAATGTGTCCGTTAGTCAACACGTTAGGTATAGAGGAAGAGGAAGAGGAAGAAGTGAATGCTATCAAAATGTTTTAGCTTTTTGTGATTTTATTGTGATATTCACATTTGTTTGGGATGGATGAGAAGACATTGTACATGATTCTTGAGTTCTAACAGAAGTTGCATTAAACCCAACTTCAGGATTTTTGTTTCCTCCATCAAGTATGTTTTATTTTTTTTTTGCCTTAACATTTGAATCTCGTTATGTTTTATAGTTTTAAATTGTATTTTGTAGTTGCATGTGAATATTATCTTTGTGGTGCTGCATATATCAATACTCATGGATTTATGACCCAATATAGCAATACAAGATATTGGTTAGCAGATTTTTAACGCCGACGTGCCTTAAGTATAAAAGGACGGTTCAATCATGATCATGCACAACTTAGAAATGTCATCGAGCATACATACATGATCTTGAAAGCAAGATTTCCAATTTTAAGACAAATAGCTCCTTACCCTTTCCCAATACAAAAAAATGTTAGTGATTGCTTGTTTCGCAATTCCTAATTTTATAAGGAGATACAATATTCAAGATCGACTGTTTATGGAGTATGATGAAAATATGTTTACCATTGAAGAACAAGACGAAGGAATCGAGGAAGATGTTGAAGAAACATAATGGGGTCCCCAAGGCAGTGATATATGACTAATTTCCATGATCAGATTGCAAATCAATTAAAGTTGAATGCTTGAAATTAATATCTGTAAGCAAACTATTCGTATGCAAACAATTATGTAATATGTTAATATATTAAGTATCAAATATTTTTGTAAGCAAAAAAGAATTTAAAATTATATTTAAAAAGTTTGATGAATAACATTTTATGTTAGTACTTAATACAATACATATGGTAAACAATAATTTTCAATCAACACTTACTCTAGAAAGAGGGATATAATGGTATTTTTTACTCAATTAACACTTAATACAAAATATTTGGTAAATAAGAAAATCTAACGTGCACTTACTCCAGTCAGACCGCTTACCAAATCAACGCTTAACCAAAAAATTTGGTAAACGACCCTTAGTAATCTTTAATCTATACTGTTGTGCTAGAAATCGATAATTTTTAGAGGGGTTTGCAGAAACTTATCGAAATATCATCTACATTTTTTTGACGGAAAAATAGCCAAAAATACGATCTAAGATGGAATAACGAGATAAATAATTTTTTTTATATTATAGTGACCACCACTTATTTTACACTATAAGGTTGAGGGAGTCAAAGTGTGATTTCATAAACATAGAAATGAAAGAAAAGCTATGGTAGAGATGGGCAAAAGGAGGAGCCTTTAGGTCGAGACTATACTCGACCGCAGTCTAAACCAGATCTTTTACGACCGGTCTAAGCTATGGTACCACTTTCCGATCCAAAATGCCAGGAATCTGAGTCGAAAAATGTTGTGAATGCAGTTTCAAGACCCTAAGTTCTTCAACCCAAATCGTGTAGCTCGAGTTTTTGGCCAAAACATCGATAGAAACCTCCTTCCTGTCCACCAAACCCCTCGCATACTGCTCGAATTTCTCGATGCTGGCCCACAACGCCACCACATGCCTTGGGTCACTTTCACTGCTAACCTTCTCCACCCACTCTCGAGCCTCCTCCAATTTTGCCCAGAAACAAGAGTCTTGTGTCAGACTCGCAAACTTACTCCGCCTATTATTACTGCCACTGCCACTGATACTGACACTATTATTATCATTATCGTTTTCCCTGAAAGCTTCTCGTTCTCTCCACCACTTGTCAAAGATCTTGTACCGTCTTGGTCGCCCTTGTTTCATGTAATGTCCCTTCTTCCGGTGCTCACCGCTCCGGTAGTACTCGGCGATGTCGAGTGGCTCGACGAGGAGTTTGTAGAATTGGGATGCGTTCACCCACTTGGCTCGCTTGTGGAAGTCGTGTGGAAGTTGATTCTTTTCCAACATGTCTATTACGCTATTCCAGAATTCACCGAGCTTGATTCGGTTCATGAACACTTTGAAATCGCGTTTAGATGCGCCTCTTAACTTGAACGAGTCGTAGTAGCCGAGTTGGTCGTCGGATTGGTCACAAGATTCTTTGTACCACTCGATTTGGGCTCGGAATGGTGTGATCTTTGACAAACCAATAGCTAGGTTGGCGCTATTGAGGTTGGGCGTGCGCCCAATTCGCCTAGCCATCTTTAGACAATCTTTCGCCATCTGATCCTATAAACAACATCATGATCATTTTAACCCATGTTTAACAGCCTAGTTTTTACAGACATGACCAGTTTAGTTTAGCAGCTAATAATTAGCTTATCAACAAGTTTGTCAAAAACGGCCAAGGAGGTTTTGCATCTTACATGGCCAGATGATATCGATTGTGATGCGAGTGTAACACCGGCTTCATACGTGTTGGATTCACATATCTCTTCTTCAGTTCGGTTCAAGAACTGTAAGCTAATCTTTCCGACATAACTCTCATACTCGAGATGATCATCGATGCAAGAACTTGGAGATCCCGAAGCAAAAGTCAAATAAAGCATTCGAACTATAGCCGTCGCGTCATCAACGCACACTGCTCCATCACTCGAGCAAAACATGAAGTTCCCAAATGGTACAAACGATAAATTCGTTCCAGGTGATCTCGCGGTCGCTTCAACATAACCAAGAACGAAATGGAATAACTCCGATTTCTCGTGATCGCCGAGTTGATTACCGGGATCCTGGAAGAAGAAGGGCGAATTCATGGTTAAGTGCCAAGATTTCAGGAGGTTGTGGAGGTGGGTGGTTATGGGGGCCAAGGGAGCAAACAACAACCGTGGAAGGATGTCGAATTTGGAGACCAGATGGCAGAAGTTTCCACCCCATCGTTGCCGTTGGATGGCTCGAGAAAGCGGTTCATTTCCGATCATCGGTGACCCAAAGGTGAAGCAAATAACGGTGGGAGGAGATGAGATCGATTGGAGATAGGAGAGGAGCCAAAGTGATGAGAGGGCGGCTATGGCACCCCCAATGGAGTGACCGGTGAAGACCACGGGTTTTTGTTTCTTCTTGATTTCAAACATCTACAAGAGTGAGATTGGATTTAATTAAAACAAGCGATTAATCTAGTTACCCAGAAGATATTGATCGAAAAACGGAAAAGAAACCTGGTTTTGGAAAACAGGGGTATGGAATATGGTCCAAAACAGGTGAAGTAATCCAGCATCTACCATCACTGTATCCTCCAACGCCGGAAACATTCCTGCGTCAACCGGAAATACACCGGCTAAAGGCACCAAATTCCCGCAAAACGGATCCAATCCATCAACCGATTGGACGCCGGAAAACGCGACGTAAGTAACACCTCCAACTTCATCAGTCAAGAAGCTCTGAGGTGCCATGACGTTTGATCGTCCACAGAGATTCCATGACTCCGGCAACAGTGGCGTTGACCCCAAAAACCTCGCCAGCATCTCACTCGTCTCGAACCTGTCAAATTAGTGTGAAATAAATAAATAGCCACAAGGAGCTGCACGAAATTTCCATTCAACGATCATATCCATGTTTGAATTTTCAAAACTAAGAATTGGGGAGACTTACGATGAAGCTTCTGCTTCCATTTTCGAGAAGATATTTGATTTGTTTTTTATATCCCTGTCTTCAAATGGAAATGGAAATTGAAATTGAAAACCCAAATCGTAATAGAAATCAGAGGAGGAATTGGGCAATTGAGCTTGAAATCATTGTCTTTGGGAAGAGGAAAGAGAAAGAATACAAGTGAAATTCTAACGGTGGACGGCTTCGGGAAAGTTGGGTCGTCGATGGGGTCAACTCATAAACAGTCCATTTGTTTTTGATGTTGAACTACAATAATTACCTCTAAAATAATTCATATAAAACTAATTTTAGACGTTACATCTTTATGATTAATTTTCTAATATATTTTATCTCTTATTATTCATTTTTTATTTTACACTTTTATTATATATACACATAATTCTATATTAATTAAAATACATAAAATAATACGTTTCTCTTTATATGAATCACATCATTATAATTGTCTTGTTAATACGTTTAAAATGAGCACAACATTGAATATTTTTGAATTTGATCGTATATTATTAAATATCATAAATGCATACAAATTATTTTTAAAACTTACATTTTCTACCTTTATGGTTATTTATTTAATATATTTTTAATTTTCTTTTAACACACATAATTTGTAATTATAAGAATATAAAATGTAAGTATTGAAAATAATTCGTAAGCTTTATATTATTTAATATAAGATTAAATCCAAAATTATTAAATGTTGGACTTATTTTGAACGCATTAACAAGACAACTATAATGATGTAATTTGTAAAATAAAACATATTTTTTTCATGTATTTTAGTTAATATATGATTATATATATATATATATATATTAATATAATAAATATAAAATATATAAAAAAGTAAGGAATAAAAAAAAAAAAAAAGTCAACTAATAAATAGTCCATTCGTTTTTTTATGTTGAAATACAATAATTGCATATAAATAAGAGAAATTGACCAAAATGATCACTTTATATATTCCATTATCATAACCCTTAAATACAATTTACTATCATAATCTTTAACACAAATATGAATTCATGTAAAAAATGATAATGGTTTCGTGCATGTTCAAAGTGGCGGTTCATTCCAGACAATAAATGGTGTCATAGAGTATATATGATATTAGAAGTCCCGAAACGTATATTACCTTTGCCTTCGCCAATAATACATTTTGGTTTGGTTAAACGTGTTGCGAAAATAACCATTTTTCAACATTTTTTAACAAAATGACCAATAAGATCGCCGCCAGGGGCTTATTTGACCAAAAAAGTATGGAAGGGGTCCCACATATATCTTATTTTTATCAGATATTTATCTAAAAAAAGGGGATCGCCCCCACCTACCCCAGGATTGCTCCCCGAGGGAGATTTGACCCCTATTTTGTCCTCTAGTGAGGACATTACATGACGATGTTGGTCCCAGACGGATCTACAAGAGTTTAAAGGTAACAGTTTGTAGGAGGGGATGAATACAAACACACAAATATTTTCACTTTTTAAAATCCTATAATAAAGAAGATCAATACGTAATTTACAGATTGTTTGCGAAATAAGATAAAATACAAAACTTATCTAAAACAATCTAAGGGACAGACAAGATACATAAAGTAAGAAAGAAAAGATTTCCTAAAAGAAGAAACAATAACTTCGTTAGAAGAAAAGCTTAGTTGGTGTTCTTCATTTGAAGTAAACGTAATTTCGCAAGGTAAAAAGTGTACTTGTGAGGGTGTTTCTTATCGGGTAATTTGAGATCTAAAAACTCTTGGAAGAGAAGAGACTCCTTGGCTATTTATACTCATTGCATTAAATGTAAGTTGGACACTACAAGGCACCTGGCAAGCTTCTAGAGGTGAGCTTGTTCTTTTTTGTTTTAATATATACATGCTTTTGGTTGTATATGACAGTGGTCTTTCACAAGGTAGGTAAGCTCGTTTGGAGACAATAGGGTGACTCCGTACGGGTGCTTTACTTTGAGAGGTATGGGTTTTTCCTTTGTGTTTAGAAGGATAAGGCAAAAACTAATCTTGATCAACAAGATTCCTTTCATTGCCGACACTAGAATAACTTTAAGGTTTCTTCAATGTATGCTGAATCTTGAGTAGACTTCACACATTTGTAGACAGACTTGTTTTCACTGAAACCACATCAGATCATGAACTGCTTGTCTCTGTCTTCAACTTTATCTTCGATATCACTGAAGGCTCTTCTGGTGAAAGTTTTGTCTTCTTGAAGAACACTTGTCGCTTGAGAATTACAATACTTGTTCAACAATCACTAACAGACTCAGTGATGATCGTTGAAACTGAATAGAGAGAACTAAGTACTTTTCGTTAGATAAAAAGAACCATCATCAAATTACTAAGAGAGAAAGGATCAACAATCTCCCCCTATTTGATGATGACAAAGTAACATAAAGAAAATTGCTTAGATGTTTAAATATGAAAAAATGTACTAGTAAAATACATGTCCCTTTTTAATGTCTTGGGAACTTTTTCAGTGATAGAGTTTATTATGAAAATTTACTTTAATTGTAAAGGATTACTATGGTTCCCAACTGGATCTACAAGAGTTTATAGGTAACAGTTTGTTGGGGGGGGGGGGTGAATACAAACACATAAACTTTCACTTTCAAAAATTACATATTGATAAAGAAAGATTAATACAAATTTTATAGATTGTTTGCGAAAAAGACAAGGTAAAGAAACCTATCTAAATAATCTAGAGATACACACAAATACACTTAGCAAAGAGAAAAGATTTGTTGTAAGAAATAAAGACTTGGAAATGTTTTCTTCACTTGTTCAAAGTGGTTCTTTCTCTTTAGAGAGAGAATAGTGAGAGAAGTAACTTCTTGGGTAAGCTTCTTGGAGTGAGGAAGATTATATAACTGAGTAGAGAACATTCAACTATTTATACCTGTTGATCCCAGATCTCTCAATAACATTAATAATCAAGTTAAGAATAACCAAATTATAGTATTTTAACGAACAAAATGATGAACACTCAAGAACAATGTATGAACATTCAAAGAATAATCTTGAGTGTCAATAATTTCACTTTATTCAATATTAATATGAAAACGTAAAAGCGGCATACATTACAATAGGCCTAATCACCTATTTATACTAGTAGGCTAAATAGAAGATAACTATCTAGCGAGACTATTTAGCTAATCTTCTACTAACAGATAAAGTTTATCTAAAGTATGGATAAGCTATAAATCAAGATAAACTTGAAATTCAGCTGTCGATTTGTTATCTCCAGCTGTCTTCCATGGGATGTTAATTCAACCTTATCTTCATATCTTTATCGTATGCCTCTAGTTGAATTGTTGGAGAAAACTTGAAGTGTTGTTAACCAGAGGGGTGATGAAGATGCTCTTTCCATCGCATTTCTGGTCGATTCATCGACCCTCTGGTTGTTTTCCAGACTTAGTCAATTTTGCCTTAAACGTCTTCATCGGTCTTCTGGTTCTTCATCACTTATTATTCTTCATTACTTTTACACTTATGAATTATGGGGTCTAACAATCTCCCCCTAAGTAATGAAAGAACAAAGATAAACTAATCTATGAACAATATTGAAGAACAGAGACTAATATAAAGAAAGACATCAATTTCCAAATTTTCATTGGATGATGAATTCTTACAATACTGGAAGCAAAGACATTACAATTTTAAGGCAAAAAAGTTTAAAACTCTATTCATGATCTACCTTGAGATATTTCCCAGAAGCGCAGTAGCAGTCTTCGATAACTGATGACTGTAGATATCTCATGAATGAGTTGTTTCCCGTCTTC